ATATAAATATATATATATATATATATATATATTTATTACATGTCAATATTTTTACTTTGTATTGATTTTGGTTATATGTTAGCACCATCTTTAAATAATTTCAGTCCTCAGTATGCTGCTTACTATTGTGAAATGCCATAAAATATTAAAAAAATATTTTAATTATTTTCTCATGAAAACTTATTTTGTGATACAATATTTTGCTGTAAAATAAAAGCAAACACTTTGGTTATTATGCTTTTGTGGGCAATTTTCTTCTTCTTTTGTTGGGACATACACTGTACCAGCCACCAACAATTCATATTTAACCATCCCCTTGCACAGGACCTTTTTGTAAAAAAGAGAAAATGAAAGTTCTATGCTAGTTTTAGATGGCAGATGTATGTATATACAGAAATGTACAACGTATGCATTCCAGAGAAGAAATTACAATATGCAAAGGGAGTGATCACTTGTCAAACCAGTGATAGGTTCTTTGAGGCAGCAATAACTCATACCCTTAAATGAAGTTGAACGCAATACACCAAAATAGATGTTGTGGGCAGAGGATTTACTGGTGCACTGGATCTCTTTTATAAACTAGGTACAAAAATCAATGGGCCATAATTTCTGAAAAAAGTGTATAACCATCATCCTTCAGAAGAATCCAATCATTTATGGTTCCTCACTAAAGGATACTGGATGGTAAAGGCAATAAAACAGTGAAGATTCCTTCTACAGGGAATTATATGAGAATTGTCAGTTCTCTTTCACTTTTAGCCTGCTGTTCTATAAAACACAGAAACAATATCACAACAGAACTTATATCACAAGTGTATTAAAACAGTTGTTTTTCATATTCTTGAAGCTTAAATATTCATTATAAGTAATGGAAAATAAAACTAGAGATTCTATTAAAAAACCTTTACTGATAATAAAAGACTGCCTTCATTTTAACCTGTTAAAATTTTCCTTTGCCCAGGTCCATTTTCTAATAATTTTTTTAAAGCTGAGCTACTTTCTTCATAGGAAGAACCAGGTAATTAACTTCACTTTTGTAAATTCAGAAATTACAGGATAAAGTGAACACAATAAATAGTCAATATTCCTGTTTTATAGACCCTGGTACTTTTCTAAATTTTTTTATTCAATATTATAGCTTCAAATTTTTAAAATGTTATTAAGAACATATATTTAAAAAGTTATCACAATAGTAAATGGAAATGACAATGATCATTAGATCAGGAATTGTCATTTATCATAACTAAGATTTATACAGTATTTTACAGGTTTCTTATTAAATAGGTATTTAAACTGATTTCCTTGTTTTTGGATTGGTTCACTGCCACAATGAAGGAAAAAGGCTCCATCACGTTGCCCAAGAATATCAAATACAAATACAAGCATAAGAACAAAATACTTCATACTGATTTATTCTTTACATTTATAAAAAGATCAGTAACACAACTTTCATTTATTATATATATATATATATGTATATATTTGTGAGTCTGTATATAAAGGCACTTACTGTATGTCTCACTAAAAATCATATTTCAAGTTTTAAAACAAAATAATTTTTTAAATTCTTGTAGCTGAAAGTAGGTTTTATAATAGAAACCTATGTACTGGCATTCTGCAGTAGTATTTCGAAGATCTCAATACTTAATATTACACATAAATTATATTTTATAAGATACAATCTGTCTAGTTCATGTCTGTTAGACAAGTAATTATTTTCACAATCATACCTAAGAAATAAAAACTTTATATCATTTTTACAGGTCTACATATTTTTAAAACAGTTGCTTAGTAGTTGAAACTAGTAAAAAATATACATTCAGGAGACTTTATCTTATATTCTAAAACTAATACATTACCCAACCTTCTATGGGTGGAGGGATTCTTTCAGAAGCTCAGAGGCAGAAATAAATGGAATATTCAAACTATATATATTTTCCTCACATGAAAGACCAACTATTTAACTTCCTGTATTAATAAGTAATTTATACATACATATCAGGCCTTCCAGTGAGCTACTGTGAGTGTTTTAAAAGTTCCTTTTTTCTAAACATATATGGCAAATAGTGGTTTCAAAAACCAAAACAGAGAGCTAAATCTATTTAAATAGCTTACATTTGACTAATAATATATGCAAGTTTGATACCCATCTGTAAAGTTTCTACAAAGAAATTTATTACTTTATGGATGTGGTCACACAAAATGTACAATACAAGTTTTGGTATTAATTATGAAATTTGCATTATTTCTTCCTCTCCAGTTCAAAAATGCTAAAATATTGATATATTTCTATGGACCTGTATTGAATAATTATGGTAATATCATGACTAGAGTATTGAAAAGTTCCTCAAACAAATCCATCATTAGAAATTCACAAATGTTATAATTTTCCTATACTGAAAATGTATTTCCAATAGGTACTTCCCTCTGCTCACAAAATTAGCTATTCTCCTTCATTGCTCCCCCCTATTGGGATCAACTGATTCCAACATGTCTCTCATGTAAATCATCATGCATCACCTCTCCACCAATAGGAGCAAAGTACACTCACATGATGCATGTGACTCCCTCTATGCACCTCTACTGAACTATCACTTGAAAGTATGGCAGAAAATGGAAACACGGGAAGTGTGTGGGGATGGGAAGTACCTATCGGAAACACATTTTCAGTATAGGAAAATTATAACTTCTGATACCATACTTCCCTTCTCTTAGATTAACTAGAATCCCACATTTATTAGGAGGAGGGACCAGTGTGAGGCAAGAACAGATGTACCCTCAGAAAGCATCTGAAGGATACCTCCATAGATGAGAAAGTCAGATCTGAAGAGGGGAACTGCATCACTTCTGAGCCAGGTATACTCTTCGCCCATGTGTGGAATATATAAGATATCAGGGCGGACAATGACAGGAGCACATCTGAGTGGGACAGAATGTGGTAGGAAAGTGAACTAACCAGAGAACGATATTATAACTCAATCTCACAATGAGAAAAGTGGATGAACAAGGGCGTGCCTCTGGATACAGAGTGGCTAGGGTGCAGCGGACTGTACTTGGTAAGTCAACTACATCCAAAACCTCCTCATGGGGTGGGATGGGGATCATATCTTCTTCACCTCAAACCCAAGAAGAGGGGAAATGAAAACCACTCTGATTCCAGGTTATGACACAAGGATTAGCCCTGAGCTATCAATCTGGGAACTTGACATCCAGTAACTGTGAAACAGGTTTGGGACTCTCCAAATGGCACTAACATCCTAATAAGAAGAGAGAACGAGGGATAGCCAAGGACAGAACCTGAACAATTTTGTGTACCACCGATATGACCCACAACACAGATGGAGGAAATTGAGGGAGGAAGATATACAACCCAAAACCTGTGTGAGGACTTATGTTGACTGGTTAACTCTAAATCCAACACCAGGGCAACAGGGTACTGACAACCACGCGGCAGTAGGATGAGAACTCCCAATCGAAGGGGTGAACTGCATTTTCGACGGTTCAACTCTAGTAGTTGTGTAAATGGTATCAGGAGGCCACGTCATCCAGCAAGGTAACGGCTCAACTCCTCTCTCACCTACATCAGCAGAACACCACTGCCCTACTCTCGACTGAATGGTTATAGCCATCTTTTTGTGGAATCCATTCAGGAGGGTGCCTCCATGATCAACCACTCCAGCAGCTTAGAACAGGAAAGTAGTAAGGACTCTCCCACTCCAACAGAAGAAAGGGGGGTGAATATGCAGTGGAGAGACTGGAGGAACATCATCACCAGAGACAGTGCAATGGGTGACCACAAAACCCTATTTTGAAAAGCAGACCATACCAATTTATTCAACCAAGACATGGCAGGGCTGGGCAGCTATCCCCTTCTGCTTTACCCATGCAGTCGATGGGTGGTACAGTCCAGAACAGGCATGTCTATGAAGCAAAAACATTGGAAGGTTATTCACCTTCAAGTGATCTTGTGAAACACCCCATCTCATCGGTGAGCATTGCAAAGCCATGGAAGAGAGTGCAATCCAACATGGCTATACAGTGTGGATTTGAATTAAAGGATATCTGGTCAGGCACTGCTCACCACAAAGCAAGATCCAAATAGTGAACAATGAAGCAAGGGCCCATGACAGGAAAGAAATAATGAATAGAAACTTATCCAATTAGAGTCACACCAAAGTATGAAAAATGGTCATAGATGGTAGACGAAAACCCGATGAGGAAGAAACTGTGAGACAGTGCAGATAAAGGGAGATGAACATATTATGTGTAGTCCTCACGCCTAAATGAAGAAGTTCCCCCAATGGCTGACGAAGACAAGATGCCAATGAAAAGGTAAGGATGTCAATTCTGATGAGAAAACATCTGGAACAAAGTCATGGAAGAAGACAATAAAGCCAAATACAATTGGTGATTTTAACTTTATCAATAGGCAGTTAAGTATGCAAAAACTAAAAGACAATAATTAAGAACAAACCTGAAAATAAAATGGTGGTATTTTTGTATTTGTTTCACTGTTACATCCTTTCCATTCAGTATAGATCTTTCTGAATAATTCTTCTTCTGATTCCTTCTCTTCCATTTAATTCTGCTTCCTATAGATCTAGTAGAATATCTTTCCTCTTCACACACTTAAAAAAAAATAATGCACATTTATTGAGCACCCAAGGGTCAGCAGTAGAGGATAATGCGAGACATTCAAAATAAATTACAACTTAGCATCAATAATTTAGATAGATTTTCATTCAACATCAGTTATTTTGCATTTGTGTTAAAATACCTAAACTACTGGTTATGCACATATATAACATTACATTTGTTTGAAGCAAATTTAAAAAAGAGAAACTAATAGTTTTTTTTGAGGCCTCTCTTTCCTTCTTTTTATTAAACATGTAAGGCTTTTCTAGATCGGGTAAATACCACTACTAGAGCAAGGCAATTAGTGAAAATTGCTAATCAATTAATTGTCAGGCTAATGATATCCACGGTGGGGAGAGCACACAGTCCATTGTATGACTTTGAGCTTAACAATATACATACATAATGTTAATATAGTAATAATGATTTTTTGATTGCTGAATAGCTGAAATAATTGAAACTAGAAACATATGGCAACACTAGTTGATTATTTTTATGATACTAATAATTCTTCAAGCAAAATATGGTAGTTGAGAAGCTTTTTTTCAATATTTTCTTATGTTGGACAAGTAAGGAAAAAGAAGAATGTTTTTATGAAAAATGTTTCATTGAACATTTTAAACCCTCTGCATAACAAAATTGCTAGACAGCTGGAATAATTGAAAATAAAAGTTTAAACACTAGTTGATTATTTTTATGATACTAATCGAGTCGACTGTAATTTCAATTAATCGAATATTTTATGGGACACTAATCGATGCTCATTAAGTAATCAATTATATTACTTAATTGCCCAACTCTAACCACTACGTGGCAGAAATGTAGGGTTTTTTATGCTAATCTAGATGTAGAAATATTTAAGTAGTCACAAACATAAATATTAAACTGAGGCCACATGTGGACAAGTTATGAAATATTTTAGAACTATTTTTTCCATTACCATAATTGGCATAAATGTGCAAGAGGGGATGATGTCTGGCATGCATAAAAATATGGGTGGAGACAATAAAGGGTTAGCTATTCTAGCTTTTCTCTGAGCAAGATCAGACATAAAAGCTTGTTACCTTACAGCAAAAGTACATGGAATGTTTATCTTGATGTGTTTAGGGTGGTTACTGTAAAAATCTAAATATCTGTAAGAATTGGTGAGTCTATAATAAGCATCAATGCTTTAGATATTACAAGCAAACACTCAGAAAGCTATTTAGCATTTCTTTCATATGTAAAATGATAATCAAGATGTATACCATTGATTAAAATCATCAAGGTTATGCAAAAGAAACAATAAGGTTTGGAAATTTTATTCTTGCCCTTACAATCAGGCATCCTGATACTGTAGATGGTGTATAGTTCAAACAAAAGTACTCCTGGTGTTCCATCGTCAATTTATTGTAAGGTCTTGTATTTATTTATCTTTGATAAAATGCAGAAATATCCATTTTGTTACTACTCAAAATAAATTCAATACCTTTATTAGTTAAATTAATCAAATGAGAACTTTTGTTTTCATTATGTCATAGACTTTAAACATGTATTTTCAATTTAATAATTATATATAAAATCTAATAACCCATACTTGAAAGCAAAGGAGAATATGTAATATAATATGACAACATACTATGTATACCATCTCCACTGCTGACATAGCCATTCATCAAATACTGGGACTCATAATGCTGGCTGAGGTACGACAGACATAGCAGTGGTCATGAATAATGTCTTTTATGGTGTGAGCCACATTAATGAAGTGAACTGTAATTATTATCCATTATTTATAAAAGTTACTTACAAATCAGAGTTCTAGGGTAAGAATTAATAACATAAGATCATTTATTCTATTTCTCTAAGTTTTAGCACTAGTTATTTACTTATTTATATTTATTATTTTGTAATTACCTTTATTATCATATACAAGAACTGGCAAACCAGCAAGTCGATTTATTCTTGGTTCAATTCTAGCAACTATAGTATCAATGGGAGAAAGATACATTAGTAATTACAAGAACCAATGGTTAAAAACAAGAGAATATGTTACATGACAACCATGCTACATCTGCAATATTCAATTTTGATTAAGCCTTATGCTGAATACCAGGAATTATTAGGCTACCTGAAACACAACAGACATAATATTGGTCTAGATGCTATGTATGTATGTATGTATGTATGTATGTGTGTGTGCAAATAGGCAAGAGAACTATAATTAAAGTTACAAAATTATTGATTTTCACAGTTTCCAGCTGCTTGATATTCTGATACCAAGCTTATTATGATAGTCTTTGTGTTAACATAGCGTTAAAACTAAAAAGAAATACATAACATATAACACTACCAATTTTGATCACAGAATGATGACTTTTAAATCCAATTAAGTGACATTTTAACATCAAAATTCAAGTCTAAGTGTTACTGTACTCACTATAACCACTAATATTTTCCATCTACATAATAATTTATTTAATAAAATTAAAAGGCATTACATTTCAAATTATAATAAGTAATCTAGCACTCACTTATTCAATTACAATGTCATGAAATTATTCATAGTTTATACACAAAGTAGATCTAGTGCTATAACTTGTAATAATATTAGTAATTCCTCAAAATGGGGCAGAAGGCCACTTGGAGGGGTCATCTAGCTGTTTTACTACTCGCACCACTATATAGTAGTGTGTTGTCTGTCAGTCAGTCAGGAGACACTAAAATGATTCCACATAAGGAACATTTAAAGTTGCAATTTGTACTGTCATGATGTCAGTAAAATGGATACATGCCATGAATCATGAGAAAGATTATGCACTGTTTAGGATACAACATAACATATGAACTTCAAAAGCAAGAAATACAATAATTTGTTATTCTTAATTCTAGTTTCATTTACTATTGAGACAGAAATTTTTCAGGAACCTTGCAGAAGTACATCTAGTAATATTAAGCATACTACTGGTCCAACAATAAATTCATAATTTAAACACGACTGAGAGTTCTACAGTGCTATGTTTATCCAATCCTTCTTTATGGTTCTGAATGTTGAACAATATCACCAACAATGAAGAAACGCATCAATGCAGTAGAAATGTGGTTCCTAAGACGAATGCTTAAAATATCATGGAACACACATACAAGTAATAAAGTCATTCTAAAGAAGGCCAAGACAAAATGTATGTTGTGGGAAAACTTAACAAAGAGACAACAGTGTTTTATACACCATATCATGAGTAAAGGAGAGATTGCAAACATTATGACATGAAAAATCCCATGAAAGAAAAGTAAAGAAAGACAAAGAAAGATGCCACTATCAACAATTGCCAAGGAACAAGGAATTACCACTATAGAAATGGTAAAAGAGCAACGGGAGACAGGGATCAGTAGAAGACCATGCTCACCAACATTCTAGATGGGCATGGTACCTAGGCTAGATAGAGAGTGACTACTACTATTAGGAGCCAGTCATTGATGTAATGGTGGAAACAAAGGCCCCTGGAATGGAGAAAATGGGCAAAGGCCTCTACCACCCAACAAAAAAAGGAACCGAAGCCAGCCCAACCGGAAGAACCTGAAACTTGTAGACACAACCTCAATGGACAAAATGAAGAAAATTCCAGGATGCTGGGAAGATGGAAACGTGGATGTAGTACAAGTACTAGAGCCAAGCATATACAACCAATAATGCGTAACAATGTTAGTGTTAGTAACATTAACATGTGTGTCACTTGAGAAGAGGCCAAATATTCTATACAAAAGTAGTAAACTTGGAATTAAAATTCTAAAATTAGCTCAGAGTATAAGTTATAACTGTCAGTGTTAGTAGAAGCAATACTACTACATCAATAGTAAAAGTAACATTAGTTACACTAACACACTAAGCCTAACGTCACTGTGTAGCAACTGAATATCATATCTGGACTAAGCTCCTAAACCCTCACCTATATATAATTGATGGCATCGATTGTAAAAAAATGAAAGTATAAGATCTCCTTCTACCACTCAAAATCAAAATTACGAAGAAAATGCAATGAAAACAAACCTTAATCACTAACTTCAAAAACGCGCTACATTTAGCGCTCTCTAGAAAACTTTATAATGGAATGGATAAGGTATATAGATAATACTATTAATAGACTTATGCCGTTATTGTATAGTATATATATATATATATATAATACCTGAACTCTTGGCTAAAATAAGTAAGATGTTTAATCTAAATGCACTTTCGTGTTAATTATCAACCAGTTAAGAATTAAAGTTTGACTTTTGCAACACAGCGTGGTTTAGAATATTTTATACGTTAAAACAAACAGTACTGCTTCGCAAAGGATAACTAAAAGGTGTATAGTGCTTTATGGAAGTTATATTTTTGTATGTATACGTTTAATAGTAAAAAAAAAACATATATTTTATCTGCTAATGATCCAGTTGAAATAAGAAAATATTCTTAGCGTTTCCTTACAAAATAAGTACTGAATATAAATATATTTAATTTCACTGTACTTTCATGTTAATCACATATATGTATGAGAATATACAGGTGGCACGAAGGACAAAATGTACAAAAAACATAGCTTTTGTCTGCCCGGAACTTTTCTCGCAAATTCCTCGATCGAATGCTACAAATTTCAAATCATTAGAAAGGCCTTTGTCCGAGAAATCCGGATTGCATGTTGGCTTTTCCATTCAGAATTACCTTATCTGGTTTTAGCTTCGATTTTAACTTTAGTTTTTATTTGCAAATCATTTAACATAAAGAACACTTAACCCACGTGTAATTTCCTAAAAACATAACATTGCACTAAGTACAATTTCTATGGGTTTTCTCGACTCATTTAGTTGTAAAATATGCATGTACAGTTCGTTCAAAACCGCATGCTTATCACTTTGTGAACACACATCCAGACGGTTCTGCAAATTAGCTAAGTTTGCCTTCATTACAACTTTGTATTTACTTTATTTGCAATAATTTAGCTTCGGTTCGTTTAATAAACTGCTATGAGCACCTTTTAACTACTGTTACGTCTCTGTATGTTTGTTTGTTAATTCTTCTAAGATACAAGTCCTTTCTTTATAAAACTTGTTTATTCTTCCTCAATACAACTTTGTAATGTACTTAATTTTCACAGTTACACACACACTGTAGTTCACAACAATTCACTCACTTTCTATCGCGCTTAGACTTAGCTGTCCGTCCCCGCCAACTATAGTTCCGATCTCTGTGTCTGCAATCCTCGGTTCCCGCCGATCGTACTCGCTGTCTTTCTTTCTCTCTGCCTGCTTCGACTCCGACTCCCTCTCTCACTGTCTAGCGCACTTATATACGATAATACTGCCTGTTCTAGAAACTTCTAAGGCTCTCAACACGCGCCACCAGCGTAACTGATCCCCGCTGTCGTAACACACTAGCGAATCTTCTAGAATACTCGTCACGTGACACCCAATGTCGTAACACTGCCCTTTCCTTAGTATTGTTCGTACCGAACAATAGCCACTTACATTAAACTAATAAACAATTAACAATAACTTAATCAAATGTACATAATTTACAAACACAAAATCAAAATTCAACAAAGTCTCTTAATTTTACGAGACGTATCTTTTTTCGTACTGGTCTCTGCCTCGTTGGCTTCTGCTTCATGTGGGGTTCATCGGGAAACGTCCTATCATTGGTAACAGTCACATCAGTAATAGTAACTTCATCAAGGGCTTCACTGTTGCCCTTCTCAAAACCGAATAGAGTTTCTTCTTCGACAGTGGCTTTTTCAGGTGACACGTCTTCAACAGCGTCATTTGTTCCGTTGTTCATTTCATCCCAACTGAAATATCCTGGACCGTGATAACGCTAAAGCCTGTTGGCATGCACCACCTTTGTCTTACCTCGCTGACCACATTTTATCCGGAAAGTCACGTCTGAGAGACGATCCACTATGTCATATGGGCCTTCCCATGGAGAAGACAACTTAGGAGACTTCCCTTTGGTCTTCCTGGGATTACCACAACCACACCGTGTCTCCTGGTACAAAGCTGACTTCAGTAGATCTCTTATCACAAGGTAATTTCATCGAATCGG